TGGTACTCACAAACGAATGTAATTTGTTTGACTATGTTTACTTCTATGTTTTTATGAATTTATGAATCTAGTCGATCATCTGATATTTTTCAACACTACATTTCTTAATAAATATGAATAACTTCTATATCCATTGTTTTTACTCTTGATCATACAGGATGCCTAAATTGTTTTCCAGTGGGCATAGCAAAGTGGCACTGATTTTTCTAAGAACTACATATTTAATAAGCAAGAGTATTAGAAAAGAATACTTTGACTCTCAAATCTTAGGATATTATGAGCCTCAATTTGGATAAAGTATACTCATTAACTTTATCGTGTCCCCTTCTCCTGCAACATTATCTCTAATATATAATTTCTATTTGCGTGTATTTCCTTTTCTGATTTATTGAGAAAGGAACGCAATCAAACACGTCGTCTAGTGAAGAAAATGTGTTCAGTCGCGTCAGATTTTGTGAAAACTTCCAAGAATATGTCCGTTCTCCGAAGGAGATGGAAGTTTGAAGTTTATTTTTATAGAGAGAATCCTATTGGAAAATGGACCTCGGACAATGTTGGGCTTTACATCACTCACCGAAATGTGGGGTTTACATAGTCTTAATTTTTTGTTTAGAATAGGCAAGAATATCAGTAGGCAAAGCTGTAGAAATATAGTTGCGCCAGTGTTTTTGCCAGAAGGCTTGCTACCCCAAGTAGACGCCACGGAAGTTTTCACACTTTTTGCTCCACAGGAGCAACGCTGACAAGCTTTTTTAGACTCGTCCAGTGATGCTAAAAATAGGTAAAAGCGTCTAATTAATAAACCTCGATAGATGATGCTGAACACCTCGAGAGTACTAACAATAAGAATTAACGAGTTTTCTCTTGCTTTCGAATCTCTTGAGTCTCAAAAAATTGATGTAACCTGGCGTAGTTGTACAACTACAAAAGATGCCAGGTTACATCAGTTTTTTTGAGACGCACAAAGAAAGAATGAATTCGCCTAGGGCCGTAGCTTAGCTCATAAAACTTTCGATTTCTCAGTTTCGACTCAATTCTACAAGATTTACGCGTGTAGAATATTGAAACTTTGTTTTTGTGAAAAATTTCGTCTTTGATTTTTTCTTTTAAAAACTACAGAAAAACTTTTTTGGCTTATATCCGTTTTTTGTATTTTTCTATGCGAGAAACGATATGGCAGGTGAAAATTACTTTAACAGGAACGTTTTTTCGGACGTCATTTTGACAATCTTGAACGTTTAACTCAAACGCCATTGTGGATAATAATTACGGGTTCTACCGCATTTTCATTCTTTCACGGTCGATAGGCAAAACCTAGTTTTTTGAAAAACTCGTCTTCTGAAGCACGATCAACTCAGTGAAGAAAATAAATATTACCACGCTGCTCAGAAGGGACGATAGCCTATGTCCATGTGTTTTTAAGATTCTCAGACTCAACGGGAGCCAGAGAGCATCACTTTGGAGATCCGATGTAGCTTCTGAATCATAGTAATTAGAGAGATGGAACTTTCATAGACTTGTAAGTCACTGTGTAAGCTATAGAACGACTAAATTTAGATTTGAAATCAACTGAATTTAAATGTCTAGCGAGTAACTCTTTGAGCGGTGGACGAGGTACATCACCTGCAAATAGTGGTTTGGCTTGATTTTACTCATTACTTCATAGCAAAAATTTTCTCTTTTACATGGTAAAAATCGCATGTTTTTATCTGTTTTCTGTAAAAATTATTCAATAAATGAGAGACTACACCGTATTTTGAAACCGATCGTAGTTTCTCGAATGAATTTATCTCGAAAATTCGAATTTTTTTCATTTTATAAGAGTTCTTAGTTTTCAATGTTTTCTAGCAAATCCATCGCTGTTCAAAAACAAAGATATAGCTATCAACGCGATTCTTTTGTCATTTGAATCAGCTTTCTTTCAGCTTCGATATCACGTAGTCTAAAATTTTAATCAAATTACCTTCAAGAGATTCTTAAAATGTTTTTAAACTCGAGTTTTTGCTACTTTACTACTAGGATTAAAAGAAAAATGAAAAAAAAGCTTATGAGACAGAAAAAAATGTCCAGAGTAAGATTTGAAAAAACACTAATGTGGCTAATAGCCACTGATCGGAGAAACAGAACAATTTTTTTTTTAAACCGTAAATTTTTATTCAAACACAACAAATCAAGGTATCACCCCATTACATGCTGTCAAAAAGTGAAGTAAAAAGTAAAAGTATACTAAACAATAATCAAAAAAGTATATTACTCAACAACAACAATAGCAAAAGAAGAGAGTTAATGCTGAACGATGAAGTTTAGCAGGGAACAGAGAGAAAGTTTAATTTCTAGTTGGTTAGTTTTTAGTAGTTTAATTTAATAGTTTTTCAATGTTTAATTTTAGATTACATATAAGCAATAGTGAGAGAGATTATAAAGATCGAAGAAAGTGATTTGTATCGCGAACCAAATGGTATCTAAATATCTGCTGGTTAAACATAAGCTATCAACTACAGTGTTAGTGAAATTGTGTTGTTTCATCTATGAAATTTAAGACATTTTCAAATAATTCCTGTATTTTATTGATTTCAAGATGCAAAACTGAATCATGTCTCAACAAAATGTGTTTCAATGTAAGAGAATTTGTATGAAGCATCTCCTGAAAAGTGTCTTCCATACTCTTGCGCTCCTTCAAATATTTAGTACAATCTAGTAGAAAATGCTTTGGAGTTTCTTTTGGATCACCGTATGCACAATGAGGGGATGGCTTTAAACTACTCTTGTAAAGATCATCATTTAGTTGACTAAATCCGACTCTGAGCATTATAAAATGGATCTCAGACATTCTTCGAAGTGTCGGTTTCAATTTAAATTGTAACGAGTACGGTGCGGTGCTATAAGTCGTTTTTTAAAATTATAAAAGTTTTTTTATCTCTCTAAACTCATTCGGTAGTAATTTGTATAATCACATTGACATCGATACTATGAGGGACACATTCATACTTATTGCTTTAAAAATATCAATTGTCAAAATAAGAATAATGTTGTTCGAAAGCATTATTTCTTACATATACTCTTTTATGTTCAAACATCGTACAAAAAAAGTTTTGTTCCTATTTCTTCACATTATCAAATATTATGAATTACTGTTATTTAACTTTAATCAAGCTTTCAATGAAACTTTCAGTTTGGTTTTGTCAATATTATATAAATTTAAGAATTTTCACACGAATATTTTTAAAATGACTTTTCCCTTAAAATTCTTACATTTGAATATTCTTCATGCTTTGCATTTTATATTTTCTGTGTAAAGAATCAACTATCAATAATATGTACAACATTGTGGTCAACTCTGTCCGAAGATTGATCCTCAAAAATTTTTTATTCTTATTGATGATTAACATAAGCTCGATGAAAATATCACGAATACATTCATATATAATGTCAAAATTTATAATATAAACATACTTGAACATATTGTTAAACTCTTTCTATCTATCTCATTTTTGTCATTTGTACGAATATCACCAATTCAGTTATGTATTATCAACTGTATATTACCGTCTTCCTGTTTGTCTTTATTAGTAATAGTGAGTACATTTGATCTTATTTATCAAGAGAGAAATTTAAAGATATTTAAAAAAACTTGAATATTTTAGCAAATGGTTGGGTTAGAGTAAAAAATAAAGGTGGTTATGTAGCAAGATTTTTCGTTGATTTTCATACTGTAACAAATAATATTCACAATAATCAACCGTTACGAACAAATTTATTTTTACAAACATTTTCATCTGGCGATTATCCTATTCGACGTTCAAGACTTATAGAATTACCACCGGATGCAATGGATGCACGCGTTCGTGTTGAACGATTTATATTTATACCATTTGGTGGATGGTTTTGGAAAGAAATATTTCGGCATGAATTTGATTCAGAACAACCAATCTGTTTTGATATATGGGGCACTACTGTTAGACCTCGTTGGACGACGGTTAATTGTTGATGAATCAGACTCAATGTACTTTTAAACAAGTTGTTCTATTAGAACGACAATAAGTTTAATTAAATTCAAAAATTTTCTAAATAAGCTTATTTAAAAAAGTAGCTGTTTTTATTATACACGTAAATCTCTCGACTATTTTCATTTTCAATGTGTATTTATACTCCGTATTTTGTATTTAATCGCTCTATCTTTTAAACATTCTTATTATTTCTAATATTATCAGTGAAGTCAACATTTGCTCTCTTGTATACATAAGATGATAAATATACTTCTATAAAATGATTTTATTTCATACAGAAATGTTAAAGATAGATTTATTGTCATCAATGAAACACAAGGTAGTCGTGATTTAGTCATTAATTTCAAAAAATTTCTCTGATGAATGATACAAGTTATTCATGATTGATATTTCTGACTTTACGATCAATTGTTAATCATATTCCTGATATAGATAAACTGACTTATTCATTTTTGTATGTATATTAGTCATCACAAATCAGTGTTAATACAGATGATGTTTGCTTTTGATGTTATTGTAAATATCTTTACATGAATAAAGACAAATACTAAATTTTTTCTTTTTTCTAAGTAGTCAATTATTGTTATCGCGATTTTTCGAAACTCTTGTTAGTATATAATTATTTGGGCATTTGTTTTATAAACATAATGTTGATATCAATATTTTTCTACTATATGCATGTTAATATGACACATGATCGTCTGACTTATTGCAAATTTGCAATTTTCGAGAATCATTCTGATAAAGTGGACATGATTTCGCAGAGTGAACATAAAACTCATCGTGAGTGATTTTGATAAGAACCGATCGAAAAACAAGTCCAAAACCAGAGATGAGAAATTCTAATTCCGGAGTTGAGCTTCTTTCTGGTGAAATTGGAGTTGAGTTGGAATTGTGTTTTTATTAGATCAGAGTTCAGTTGAGGTCAGATTTTTTCAACTTTAACTCCACAACTCCAGTTGAAAATTTTTACAAGTCTGACAATTTTTTCTGTTTTTATTGAATTGTCAAAATGACTTTTTTTGTGTGTACTCTCCTAAATAAAAGCGAAATAAACAACTATTAATAAAATCAAGAAGAAAATGAATCAGGACAGAATAAGTTTCTATAGGAGTTGAAGCGGAGCTGGAGTTAGGATCCGCGGATTTGTTCATCTGTCCAAAACCACGGTGTTTAAGGTGAGGCAGACATAATTCTGAACAAGAGAGAATTTTGAGAGCGAGTTAATTGAATAATTTGAATTTGAATTTGAATTATAAATTTTATACTTTTTTCTTTCGATGTCTCCTATATCCTCGTGGAAAAAAATAGTTGCACACAGTATTTTTAAGATATTTTCTTTACGAAAATATACTTTTACAAAAATGATCACATATTCTGATAGCGCTTGGAATTCTCTACAATTCTGTATATTTAAATATGGTCTTGCATTTATTTATTGAAAAATACATTGAGTGCAATGACGGCCCCCTCATCGTCAGATTCCCAGAAATTGTAATGAGTGTGGCATCTCAATATTTTCTATTTTTCTCGTGTTTCTTTAGGACCCAAAGATTAATGTTTTTATAAAAAGATGCGCCGCGAAATGCCCTACAAAACCATATCTAACCTTTAATTTTAGAGTTTCAATCAAGAAAACTACACAGATTATACGAAAGACGAAAAATATGAAACCTTTGAAAATCTGTTATTTTTTTCCACCTGAACCTTTTTCTTTTGCTGCTATTTCCGTAAAAAATGGGTTGCAAAAGTGAGAAGTCAGTTCTTTTTGTACTTCTGAATGTGCTCTTTCTCGTAGTCTGTAAAAAAATCTTTTAGAACAGATGGTGTGGAAAAAACGAAAAAAGTAACGAAAAAATGCACCTTTTTGGTACTTGTCAATTGGGGGTACCTTCGCTGTACTCAAATTATTTTTCAGCAAATAAATGTAAGACAAGACATAAATATATAGGATGATAGAGAATTTTAGGCGCTATCCTATTTTCCGCGCTACTTTTATAAAAAGCAATTTCTATAGTGATGATAAATTTAAAAAGCACGTTGAAGAAATAGTAACAAAATGCAGTCCGTGGGAATCTGACAATGTGGGGCCGTCATTGCACTCAATTTGTTTTTCAGCAAATAAACGCAAGACAAGATACAAATATACAGAATTGTAGAGAATTCCAAGCGCTATCAGAATATGGGGTCACTTTTGTAAAAGTATGTTTTCGTAAGAAAAATATCTTAAAAATACTGTGTGCAACTATTTTTTTCCACGAGGATAGATGTGTGTGAAACCGAAATACGGTGTTATCAAACTATATAATTCTTATTTAATAAAACTCGATTTACTATCGAAAAGCAAGCAGAAAAATAAAACAGTTGAAATAAATTTACATAGTGGATTATAAAATATTAAAAGAAAAGCAAATGTAGAAAAATGTACAATATCGTAGAAAATAACTAATAAAAAGGATGATTTGTACCGAGGCACATCTGGTCGCTTATATTCGTTTTACTCAACTTTGGTATAGAATATCAGTAATGTGAGCGATGTTATGAATGAGACGACGATATCTAATTGATTTCGTTTGCCATCATTCCAGTAAGGATATCCAGCCGAATTATAACCAGCCGAATTTATTCCTGAACTAGGATACCCCTGACCACTGATTGGACGATAATTACTACCATATTGTGTACCGTACTGACTGCCATATTGTCCGTATCCGTACTGATTCGGTTGATTGTAATATTGACTCTGGTAACCTAATCCATATTGTCCCTGGTTACCATATTGTCCCTGGCTACCATATGGTATCTGATTACCATATTGTCCCAAATTTGAATATTGCTGTCCTACGCCACTACCGCCATATGGATAATTACCTTGTCCTTGTACTCCGTATTGATTATACATTCCCTGCTGATAAGGATTCTGTTGATAGGCAGAATTTCCTAAATAATTTCCCATATTTTTACTACTCGGATTACCAGCGGCTGTTTTACTAGTACCGTCTATTTGTTTAATAAGATTATTTGTGTCAATGTTTGGTGGCAGATTTTGCTGCGAACCAGTAAGCGGTACATGAACGGCAATCTGACGTCGTCGACGGCGTTTACCTCCATCAACTGGAAATAGGTAAAATATAACAAAGTTGAGAGTTGAGAGAAAATGATTACAAATATCGTAAGAGAGGGAGATTCTAGTATTGATAAATTTCGTTTTTCTGTTGTTTTTTTTTAATCTATGCAGCAAATATGTTCACTGTCCACACGCTTGTTTGTAAAATTCATAAAGAAAAACTATTTCATTTGTGCTCAACGAGACTCGTTATATAAACAAAATTGTGTTAAGTATTTAACGAAAGGTAAATTTATATTTTAAAAGGTTATATTTGACTGCTCATATATAACAACCTTTTCAACATTGATCTATATATGAAGGTCACATAAACTGTTTTATTATATTCTATAAAGTTGACATATAATTAGTAACTCTATTAACAACGTTAAATACTCTTTTATTTTTCAGTCTCTCAAAATTCACCAAAGATCTGTTTAACAACGTTGATCTATTTTTTTTCTGCTGTCTAAAAATATCAGAAGAAAAGAAAGATGAAAGTATTTGACACTATGTAAAACAACTTCGATTGATGATTCTGTTGTTTTCTAACAGAAAACAATATATTCATTTAGCTTGTATCATTAGAAAAGTGACGACCTTGATATCCAGCTGCCTCTATTTTTAAAATTTGATGTGTCCAGAAGTACAGACTGATGCCAAGTCAAGTGAACAAATGTTGCCTCTTTTCCCAATTCTTTTATATTACCTTAAATACAATTACTTCATTACTTCTCATTAAAGTATGATTACTTTAGTTGTCATTTGATTTTTTATTGTTTTTCTTTTCTGTTGACAGAAATCTCTTTACTCTATTTTTCAATACTGTTACTTTTCAAGTATAAGAATTTTACTAAAACTTTTTGTTGTATGTTATTGATCATTATTTTATCAATGCTTCTTTCGATAAAAACTACATAGAACGACTATATCTAAGTTATATAATCTTCTTACCTGTCGAATATAAAATGCATAATAAGATTAATATTTTGTAATGCGTCAACATTTTGAACTCTTAATTAACACATGTGCACTGCACCACTATGAATTATATATGATTGTATTTTTTTTTCTACTATGTATGTGTGCGTATGTGTCGTTTTTTTTGCTTGTTATATTATTTTCATTACTATGCACATTGACATAAAATGTTAAAAAAGAGAGCATCAGTAACAGTCCACATCAAAAAAAAAGTTTTCTCTTTTTTATTCCGTCGTGTTCTTTCTCTCTTTGATTTCTTTCGTTCTCTCTTTTATCTGCACATAAACTATATAATTTCATTGGAAACCAAAAAAAAAAGTCGTTTGTTTATTGAATTGTATGCTGTTGTACGAAATGTCCCATTACTAATTATAGATTCATTTAGAAATAAGAAGTTTTTTCTATTTTTCACTAATATCGTACACTTCTCAATTGTCTTTTGCTAAAGTGTCAAATCAATTAAATTATAGTTTCAGTTATGAAGACGGTACGATTGAGATAATAAAATAAAAGGTCAGCGGTTTTCTTAAAAAAAACTTAAATTGTTAACCGCCAAAATGGAATGAAAAAAAAGAACGGTTACTCATGAAGAAAAAGGTACCTTACATATTCATTTACATGTACTTGAAGAAATGTATATATATTCATTTTTCTTTTTTCTTGATGGAATTTCACTCATTCATACACAGTTCAGGTACAAGTCTCAAAGAGAAAAGAAAGTATCTGTAAAATCATAAAGAAAAAAATAACTCATTTTTATAAAATGTACAGTACACACACACACACACAGAAAGTAATACATGACAGTGGTTGGTCGCAAAATAATGAATATATATATTTTTGATGAGTGAGGGTCAGAATAAATTCACAAGTTCATACGGATAGATTAAACTATAAAAACAGAAAGTTTATTGACTCTTCTAGATATTCGGTTTTAAGAAAGATTTTTGGTATACTAATATTTTAAAAACAAGATTTTATTTATATAGATTTTTCTATATAACTGCAATTATAATTAAATTTATTCAAAAAATTGTTGCTCTTGACCACTTATAATATTGAAGATTTCATCTGCAGGGGCATCCCCGAAGCCATGAAAACAAAAGAACGGAATTCAAAGCAAATATTGCAAACATTTCAATACCAATGTAACTCATTTTTTAAATCGGAGCGAATAATTTTCAAAACTAAAATCAAAAACTTTTTGTAGAAAATTAAAATTCGTTTTTGTAGCAAAGAATGGATTACCTCAATTGTGGCATCTATATTTATTGAATTTATTTCTAGTAACTGACTATTTTTTTTATCTGTCGTTATTAAAATGAGAATAGTGTTTATCTATTTACTTGGGGGAGTTGTTTTCAAATAGAACTATGAGTGAAGGGCGATTTGAGTGATTCTATAGAAAAAAAATATTCTATATAGATAACGAAAAAGTGACGAAATTGATCGTGGTAAAACATGACACATTTTTAGACCTATTGATCAGGTTGCATACCACAATAAAAAGAACAATATTTAGATATCATATTCTTTAAAGATTTAGTAGAGACATTATCGAAACGCTCACAGCTAGTGTCTACAGAATTTTCTGTTTTATAACATCATTACAAAACCAAAATAAGTTGCATTATAAAACTTGCAATAGAAAATAAACTTTAAAAAATTACATGATCTAACTAGAGTAATTTTTGAAAAAAAACTTGTTTCTTACAACTAACTGAATTTATGTGGTGTTTTTATTTCGAAAAAGAAACGTAGTAGGTGGTATTTATGTCAAAGAAACATTTTCAACACTCTCGTTGTTGTTTAGAAACAATTTCTTAAATGAAATAATGACCGAATTGATTACCATAGAACGATTTAAGCCTAATTCAAGTGATAAATCGTTTGATGAATCGGATTTTGAGGATGACGATGATGACAGTGTCACAGATAATGATACTGTAATAGTTGCAAAAGTAAATTCAAAAAAATCAGCGGCAAAGCGCTCACATCGTATCAATGCTCGTTTACCTTTAATTATCAGCACCAAAACGCAGCCACAACGTAAAAAAAAACATGTACAAAATATTCGGATCATTAAGGAATCATCGCGTCCATCAAAAGAACTAATATTAAAAAAAACTATTGATTTAGCTCAACCAAAAATTCAATATGTTGGAATACCAATGCCTGCTGAACGAATTGTTCGAACGTTAACACCCACTATGGAACGATCAATAGTACTACGCAGTGTTCCAACACCAGTGCCTATATTGAGATCTGTTGCGTCAACTCCGATATATGAACGACCTGTCGTATATCGTACTAGACCAACATTGATACGTGCTAGACAAAGTGATGCCAATACACTCAATGTTCAATTACCAAAACATGCAAGAGCGTTAGTAAATAAATTTTTGAGCACAATGCAATCTGCACATGGATACACTGTAAGGTTTAACCCTACCTAAATCTTTTAGCTATCTTCATTCCTTTTAGACTGACGATAGCAGTGATTGTAGTGTTTGCTCTAATATAAAATCAAAAATTAGTAGAAAAAAAATAAGACACCATCGTCGATGTAGAAAATCAAAATACTTTGAACTAGATGATAGTGATAGAGATGATATTAGCCGACATAAAGTTGTATTTAGATCACAGGTATTAAGTAAAACGTTAATATGAAAGTTAGAGGTAGTTGAGATATTGTGCCTTTATTATTTTAGGATTCTCCAATAAGAATTTATAGAAATTCTCGATCACACGATAGAAATTGTCATGGTTGCAAACATTGTCAAGTGTGTGATTTACTTGACAACTCCGATTTTTCAATTGAATCAAATAGAGAGAGATTAGTAAGTATTTCATAACGTATGAGAGATGATTGTTCAGAAATATATATTTGCAGAGAAATGTTGGGTCAGAGCCGATACATCAAGTTGAAAGTTTCGTTTCAAATGTGAACCAAGCAAAGAAAACCGGAAATCCGGTAATTTCTACCATTCAAACAACAGCCACTCATGAAGTAACTGATCCTCGTACACACAGTGTATTATTACCAGCACCACTACCACCAAATCAATATTATTCCAACTATCCGTACAGTGCACCGGTTATGGATCAAACAATTCCATATGATATGCCCTATGGATGGGAACCTTCAGCATATGATGCAATGTGGCAGTATGATCCATCTATTGGAGCAATGCCCGGGTATCCTACCGATCAAACGTATTATAATAATACCATCGATCCTGGATACGTACAAACTTCAAAGTAAATACAATAGATTTTTTGTCTGCTTATTTTGATGATGATCGTTTCCATATATAAATTTAGTTTGAGTATGCCACAATATAAAATGTACACTACACCTTATCAGACGATGCCGTATGTTGAATCAACAATTCCCATAACTAATTTTACGAATACAGTTAAACGGTCACCTCTGACAAACGGTTCTAATAATCAATACATCGATAAGGCAACATTAACACGAATAGATGATAAACAAAGAATTCTATCACCAACAAAATCGTCCAGAACGACGAATAAGACAATCATCGTACATAATAATCATCCACGACCAAAACAAGAGAATATCATCATTGAAAAACAAGTACCAATAGGAGCTAAAATTGAAGCGACAACTATTTTGAAAGAACGTAGTACACAAACACCACGCGCCTATTAAAAATCCAAGTCAATAATCTATCGAGAGCAGAAAAATGACTATAATAAAATATTCAAAGAAGAAATAACTCTAGAATTATTACAGTTTCTTTCGATTCAAGTTTATAGATTATGAAGTTCATGTGTTATTCTTATTTATTCATCAGAACCCTAATAGAAGAATTAATATTTTGATCTTCATAAACTTTTGATTCAGAATAAAAATAGTACATAATTTTGACAATTAATAATTACTCTAATAATTCGATTTTCAGTAGTATATCACTATGAAATGAAGAAGATTTTGAGAAAGTTTCCATTGTAAAATAGTAGAACTGTATTAAATAATTTCTATTGTATTTAGCAGTTTGTTTTCTGAAACACGCATACCTGTAACGCTATAAATATCAAAATATAATAATCGCTATTCAATCTATTTAAACTGACTATATTAGTCTTCAAAATTTTTGTTTTAATATCTATTAAGCTTACTGACCTACTTATCTTCATTAATAATCTGGAAAAAGCAACATGAAAAGATCAACATTGGTAGTAAATTATGATCTGTTCAATGGTGAGAGTGAACATAGAAACCGTGTTACTACACTGAAATATAAGAATATTATCATAAGAGTATAAAACTCTATTACTTCTCTTCTGCAAATCTTCGATTAATTCTCGGTGTTCATTCTGCGAGGAAAGCTTAAAAATCTCTAAAATCCCAATCCGCTTGTGCATATTTGCTATAATAATTAGAATTAATATGAAAAAAAATTTCTGTTGCTTCTTTGGACGCTGGTTGAATCGTGACATGATCGATAACAGCGAATATAACAGATAGGATAATTTAAGATAGTGAATTGGTGGGTAATTAGACCAAAAAAATATGAATTAGTTCCACGCTGTCAATAGAGATGTTAGAATAACATATGGTGTAAAAGTAATGGTGTAAATGTCAAACATTATTTCTCCATGTTCTCGATGTGTTGGAGAGTTAATTATTTTTCCGTTGGAAAGAGCAAAGTCTGAATTTCGTAAAACATAGAGAACAAATTTTTTTCTGATTAACTTTGAGTGAGAAATAATTTAAATAGTAAACGTCGCCAAAAAAGTTCTTGCAACTTTCGCTCTATTCAATCGTGTTTCTCATGCAAAGTGGTGCTTTTCTATTAAAATTGAGTTTTGTTACTATTAAGGAATTATTAAGGGAACTTTTAGAAAGTAGAGGGATCGATAGAGTTTTGCACGAACTACATTCTCATTTATTTGATTTTCAAGGCTTTTCTTCTCAGGCTGAAGTGAAAAGAATAAAAAAAGAAAATACGTTATAAGACCTTTTTGAGGTCAAATCGAAAAAATGTTGTCATACTGTTCAAATTGGATAAATAAAATATTGTTTGTCAGACAAATTTGTCCTCTAGACTTTACTCTTTCAAACAAAAAAAAACTTCAAAGTGAAGAGAAAAAGAGAAGTTAAGTAGTGAAATTAATATACAAGGTTCTCATCTCATATTATTGATATTTTTCCACAAGCAAACGTTACAAAAATACTGACATTGTGTTTTTAGTAAACGTTTTTTATTGTATGATTGATTAAATAAATATATCACGATCTCTGACTGCTCTTTTAAGGCATTTCAAACCAAATTCAAGCACAGTGTAAAGCAGAAAAAAATACATTTTCTAAAAATTTTTTTACTTCTAATAAAGTATTATTAGCGTTTCTACGCTTCATTCTTTGTACGCTTCAGTTGGTATTTTTCGATTTATTCGGAACATTACATAGTAAAACAGATGTTGACTTCAGAAAGCTAATATTTACTGGATACATTTTCTATATCAGAGAAGGCATGTAATTTAAATTTGATATTTAACCCATTAAATACCATGATCCTCATTTGGAAATAAATGATTCTATTATTTTCAGATGTATAAATGTTTTTATTATGCAGCATATTGTTGAAGAAAGCATAAAATTTGTCTCTCAAAATAATCGGCGCAACTTTCAAATGACAGAAAGTTACCTAAGAAAATTTATGGAGGATCTAAGTTTGAAAGCCTAAAAATTCCATAAAATAATATATTAATGAAGTTTTATTTTTAAATCTTATTTCGATATATCTTTTTATGCAGAAAAATTCAGCAAAATTAAAATTTAAAAATCTGATACTTAATGGGTTAAAACTTATACAGTTGGCAAGATACACTTCATTGGTTATTATTCTATGTTATTTTGTATGATTACTAACAGAAGGAAACTAATCCAAATCCTAGATAAAATCCTACTTTCCTGTCTTCCTTGATCCCTTGAGTCCCACATCATTTTTTTTAGGGTTATATGATTCTTAGTTAAATTAAATATATTTGATTTAATAAAATCGTTTTCTCCTGATTTATTTTAGAAGCAGAGGCACATAAATGCATCTACTATTAATTAGCTGATTATCCGTTGCTTCATTTCAAGAGGTTATGTACTAATTTTTATAAATTATGTTATGAAAAATAATTATAAAACATGTGTAGCATTTTTTATGTGTTTTAGCTGTGCACTGTAATGTTTAAGTGCCTATCTAGTTAGTACGTCGATGTACTTTTGGAGACTTGAATATAATTACACGTCTAACTAATCAGTTAGAGATGTCTATACATCTTAACAGTAACTATTACCGTTTTTTTGAAAAGAATGCGCTTGGGAAGATCGCTATAATTTTTGAAGGTAAAGTGATAGAGGCTTGTGGTTCTCACTGTTGGATAGAGGATCAGGATACGTAAGCGCAGGCAAAAACTAGGCTTCCAGGTAAGGCTTACCATGATAAGCCTTTCAATGCAAAGTCTATGAGACTGCCGTTCCTCGACCGTACGATGGATTTTGATTTTCAAATAGTGCAATCAATAGCGCAAACCGAGCTCTACAATTCTAGATCGGTCTCAACTCTCTACCTCTTACGGTTCAGGAGTCATACGCATTTTCCCCAGAGCCCCGATTTCGGCCAGTTGACCTCTGGTGATCCTAAAATGGGTCAAGATAGAGATAATCGGCCACGTTGAGTCAAGTGGTGATGTTTATTTTTAGTTTCAAACCGACCTAAAGTCACTATATCAAGATATTC